GGTTATAATTAAGAATCTAGCAGCTATCCAAAGATTGTATGATTGTGAAGCAGGTGGTACAGTCGCTTTTTCATCCTTTCATCCTTCTAATGAATAATGTAACTTGGAATCCTAAAACTGTTCTCCACCCTCCTCCCCCCAAGTAGTTGGAAAATTGATACTGGGGGTAACAATTCGCCCTTAGTGACCTGATGGTGGTGGCAGACATTATTGAGGTGATGATTTCTGTTCCTGAATTTTCTCATTTGTTTCCATCTTTCAGCTGGAACGAAAGTGTTCATGAAATGAAGTCACTTTCCCAGTCTCTACAGGTGATAGTCCCAAAGTAGTACTGGAAACCAGCCGTCTATCTGCACCCTGAGCTGTAGTGCTGGTTCCTGGGAGCCCAACACACTTGGATCCTTGGTTACTTAAGAAATTCTCTCAGGATGGGTGTGGCAGCTCTGTGCTGGAGTGCCACACCTGCCTTTAACTGATGTGCCGATCAGGTCTCTGTGTCTTCAAACCCTGCTTCCATATGGAGGCGAATGGAATCAAGCCTTTCCCCAAATACTCATTTGTAATCCTAACCACCTTCTCTCTGTTTTGCTGGCTTTCCCCCCATTATGTTACCATCTGTCTGAGAAACTTTGCCTGGGTAAAGACAAGTTGGAGCAGTTGTTCACCCTCAAACAAAACCCGGACTACTCTTCTCTCCCGGAGCAGCACTGAGCACCCTATTTAGGGAGTTCCTTCCATATTTTAAAAAGTGTGCCTGCTACTCAGGGATGTCTGGTTGCTGTCCTTTTTATCATTCTTCAGTGTGTTCTATGCTGGCTGGAAATGACTAGCTTTGGTTACTGAGGGTTTGTGGGATGCTTGAACGTCTTCATATAGTTTTCAGATGGAAATCCATGTAGTTTTCTCCTTTTTTTCTTTTTTAAAGATTTATTTATTTATGCATAAAAGAACTGGGGTGTAGGCCAGAGGTGCAGGGGGTGAGAGGATTCACCAGAAAGAGTGGAGAGCAGAACAGGCAGATGTACTGAAATACATGGCGCAGTAGTTTTCTCCTTTAGGAAATATTTCGTAATGAAAAGCAACGTGGAAGAGAATGCATGCTAAGCTTTCTTCTTTGCACCCTCCTCCCCTCTCCTCCATGCTTTTCCCTTAAAGTAACTATAATACAGTTTCATCAGACCTCCCTGGTGGCGCAAGGGGTTAAGCACCGAACTTTGAAGCAATCCGCAGCCTCTGCAGCACAAGTTTGATCCCCGGCCAGCCAGGGAGCCACCCACATGGTGCAGCAGACCTCTCCTGTCTCACCTGCTGCTCCCCTCAGCAGTGTATTTCAGTCAATCTGCCTGTTCTGTCTGTTCACTCTGTCTCTGGTGAATCCTCTCACCCCCCTGCACCTCTAGCCTGTACCCCAGCTCTTGTATGCATAAATAAATAAATCTTAAAAAGTTACAGTTTCATGTCATGATCCTATGAAGAAAATAAACAGATCTTTGGTATTTTTTCTGGATCTGTTGATGTTGAGGACAGCGCTCTGCCTCAGACCAGGATTGTAGTGTTCTCCCCAGTCTTTGACCCATTCACCTTTTCTAGCTGCTGTGTTCAGGTGTCTTGACCCATCTGAGCTGACTGGAATGGAAGGTCTTGATTGCCCTTACTGACCTGGTTCAATTACACACTGGGTGGAAACTCCAAGAAGTTTGGGGGGAAAGACCCCAACGGATGTCAGTTGTAAAACCAAACAAATATTTTAACTACTTAAACTTTGGGAGGCAAAGAATGGACTTTGTCATCTTAGTAAAATAGTGATAGGATTCTTTTTTTTTTTTTTATATGTAATCATATTTTTGTCATGCAGAAATGTTCAGGGAGAGAAGAGTAGTCCGGGTGTTGTTTGAGGGTGAACAACTGCTCCAACTTGTCTTTATCCAGACAGAGTTTCTGAGACAGATGGTAACATAATGGGGGGAAAGCCAGCAAACCCCAAGGTGTGTATTATTTCAAAAAGATGGTGCAAAGAGTACCAAAAAGGGTAGAGGTTGGGTGGTGGGGATAGAATAGCCACCCATATGCGGTAATTACAGGCATAACTATCATGGATCTATGTATTAATTTTTAACCCAGATGCCACAGCTAGTAATAGCAGGCCAGGATTCATATCCCAGCAAGCCTGGCTTCAGGCTTTTACAATGTTACGATTCCTTAAGATATCATTTGTTTTAAGTGTTTGATTTTATTAGTATTGTTATTGTAGTCTATGTTTATTTCCATTGAAAGCCTTATAATTATAGATTTCATGTTTTCTATGTAGCATAGGGAGGTAACTTTCTTTAAGCCAGTAAAATTTTACACACAAAAAGTCACTGGCTAGATGAATACGTCCCTGTTGAAGTTTTCATATTAAGATTTAATAACCAAATGAGAGATCTGTGTGCATTGTTAAAAGAGAAAGGCTTCAAAAGCGTAATTTAGAAGCGCACATCTAAATAGTTCTGTGTAAATTTAATTGGGGTTTATTCCAGTAAAACCCTAAAGGGAGTCTTTTGCAGTGATTAGTCAACTCCTGATTTTGCTGTTTTTCACTGTTTCAGGGAGTATTTATATAACTTTTCTATACAATCTAGAAGTTAGCTACCAAACTAGAAATTTGCTATCTGAACATTTTCCCATATTATACAAATAAAATGTATTTTCTGTTACAACAAAATTAGTTGTCCATCAGGGCATAATCGGCAATAAATGTCAAGACTTGGTCCAAGCAGTTGCTGACTTTGCTCAAGATGAAAGGAAGTATGCTGACAAGAGATAAGTGTAGTTAAACTGCTCAGAACAAGCCTTCCAGATTTTGTGTGTGTGGAGAATTGCAGTTCCTATTACTGCATTCTTCCTGTCTGTGTAATACCTGGGAACAATTTATTCCATGCAATGCCACCCCCATCTTAGTAGTAAACTTTTTACTGAGGAGGAAGATTTTTAGGGCTGTCAATTTATTTAATTGCAGTTTTCACAGATGCCATTTGATAATTTGCCACTTTTTATTTCGCAGGTTTGGGGCAGGTTGAGATTAAAGGACTGAACAGATTGTGTGTGTGTGGTTCATGTCCTTGTATTGTGCGTGTGCTTCTCTGTGAGAAGTTCACGTTAAGAGTGTGAATTGGAGGAAAATGTAAAAGTGAAAGCTTCAACTTGGCCCTCCTGTTCCTTACCACTTCCTGAAGAACCTGCCACGTGGACCCCAGACTTAGAGACTTAAACTTGGGTCTCGAGGACAAAATGAGACTGAGTCCTCCATGCTGAAAGCTTTCCGTAGACCTAAACATGTAAAATAGGTTTGCTGCTGCCCTGAGAACTCAAATGTATGGTTTGCCTTAGTTGTGAAATTTTCAGGGAATGATTCTCTAGTTTTAAATATATGGGAAGAGGCCTTGTCATCTCTTAAAAATAATCTGGCAATTTTTCTCACTTATATCCAATTCTTTGAAACCATTTAGAACATGCATTCGGCTCCTGCAATGTACAAGTTATAAAAGAAAAATGTGAGCTTGTCAGATTAACTACAATCACCAGTCTAATAAAACTGAGTCACCTCCAAATGGGCTGCGCTTATCCTACCCTCCCATTCTAGGGAAAATGTGGCTGGGGGAGGCAGTCTGAGTCATCACCTGGTTTATTTGACATACGCTTCCTTCCATAAATTGGGCATGGCAAGCCACGCAGCGTTCCAGGCTGGCTTTGGAGAAGGAGCTGCTGCAGCCTTGCAGGATCAAAATAGGGTCTCTGGGTTTGAAGGATGAAGCTGAGCCTATGTCTTGGACTCAGATGTCAGGGAAGGGGGAGAAATGGATGGCTCAACAAAGAACATTTGTAAGTACCATTGGGGGTCATCAAAGAAATGATAGGGGTGTTCACACTCGAAATTTCTCTAGGATGTCAAAAATAATTAAGAAATCAGTTGGGGCTTAAAAATAACTTAGAGGGGCTTCTCATTTACAAGGCAAGAATGTGCTTGATGTCAACAGTCAAAAATGATTACAGGAGAGAAAGAGAGAGAGACGGACAAAGAAAACAGTTGATTTGGTAGTTACCATATATATTTGTCCTGACAAGATTGAATTTTTCCTGATTTATGCAGCTGTTTTGAAAGAAATTATTTTATTTATGACATTTTTCAAAGCAAACGGAATTTCCTTTCTGGGTATTTCGAAGGGATGGGAAGAGAAGGAGGCTCGTGTGTCTTACACGTTTTCCTACTGTGGCTTTGCTTAGGCTCACTGGAGCTTTTTAAAAGAACAAAGTTTAGAATATAATAGATAAGGATGGGGAAAGTAGAGGAGGTGGATCTGTCATTGAAGTGGGTTTGTAAAACTCAGCCTCTGCTTCGGGATTAGTTTTTAGTATATACCAGGCAGTTCCTGAGATTTCCATCCTGGCTGGGTTGTGGCTCTTTCTGCCTGTGAGGCTCGCGTGTTCCCTGTTTTAAAACTAGAGTTGTCACAGCCTGGGCGTTTTCTGTTTCGGCTTATGGCTTTTTTTTCTTTTTTCCTGAATGAGTGTCCTTTGTGTAACCCCAGTAATTCAGAAATCCTGCAGTCATAGGGACTGCCCTGTCACGTGACTTAGGTACTAGGTGCTGCCTGCGATTGGTCAGCAGCTAATTGGCTGTCCCTATAAGAGGTCCCACATCAGGAGTCCAGCCACTCTCCTCCTGGGCTGCTGTTCGACGGGGGCGGGGGAAAGGGCAGGGGATGGCCGGTGTCCAGTGATTCAGCCACATGTGATATTTGACCAAATGACTGCTTCCTTGGGGTCGGCACATCAGTGGAAGACACCCAAACTGGTTGTGACTGACTTGCTCAAACTCTGACTTCCTGAACTGGTAACTGTCACTTTAATATAGCTTACTGATTAAACTCAGAAAAATGCAGCTAAAAAGCATTGCCAGGAACTTGTGAGGACTTACTGCCTGTTCTCCCCCTCCCTTGTTCTTATTCATTTTGTTACAGGACTGAAATGCAGATAATTCTTTAGAAAGCTTGTGTAGGAAAAGTGCATCGTGTGATCTGGAACAAAGACATTTTATAATCAGATTTATCAAGCTGTGAAGAGGGGGTTTTAGCAAACGGAAGCAGCAGCATTCTGTCACCAGGAAATACAGCTTTATCCAGAATTGGTAAGTAAAAAGTGGCATTGCTCCCTAATAGATATCATATGGTGTGCGTGGGAATTATAAAATTGTTCACAGACCCCTAACAACTATGTTGAACCAGAGAACACATAAACAGAGTAAGGAATCTTGAAAAGGAGCACTCCAAAAATCTAGCTCAAAGGCTGAGAAAAGAAGCCAGGTAATTAACGAAGATGAGCTGATGAGCTGATTATAACTACTTTAACCAAATATATGTGATACAACTAGCTCGGCTTTCCTCTCTTTTTCATTTTAGGTGCTTGGGGTGGCGGGGCAAAAAAAATCAAATAGGTTGTTTAGTACAGTTGCAACATTAGCTTTCCATGGATAGAAATTTCCATTTAGTCTTAATAGTGTATATGATATTTGAAGGGATGATTTCAGAATTACTTAACTTGCTCCTCTTTCCCTCCCTCTACCCAAGGGTGTCAAGTTTCTAGTTTGAACTTTGCAAAATGAAAGTTTAAATCATTAAACTTTAGGAAACATTTAAAGAAACACTTAAAGGTTGAGAAACATTTCCTAGTGATTGTAAAGGGTAGATTAAGATGGTATTTTTTTCACATTTGTGTTATGAATTTTAAGATTGTTCTATTTGATTTTATTAGTACTGCAAAAGGTTGATTATTTCTATATGGTTCATTGTATTTTGAGAGATTGTGGTTAGCAGTTCTTACTGTTGTTGTGCATCTATCTGTCTTTGCAACCTTAATTTCAGTTTTCCAATCTTGAATCTGAGCTGCCCCTATGTTTGAAAATTTCAGAAAAACATAATAAGGCTTTGAATACCTGCATTATATATAATAGGTTCTTGTTCATGAACTGTAAGGAAACACAATTTTATACTAGGCATGAATGACTGATACTTTTGATTTGGCTTCTTAAGAGAATGATTGTGCTAGAAAACTTGAATAGAATAAGAAAATAAAATTAGAATGGTGAGTAACTACCTGATTTTTACCAGTTTCTTATTGGTCAACAGACGCAATCATGTGATTACTACTTATATAGAATCAGGTGGAAAACTGTCCTTTAACTGTTAGCAGTTATATAGGTAACTTTTGTGAGCTCCCTTTGTGAATGTGAATATATATATACATATGTAATTAAAGTTTTTGTTGCATAAGATATAATATTTATTTCTTTTTAAGTACCTTAAGCCAAATTAAAAATTGAATCTGCAGCTTGAAATTTTGATCCCCATTCTGTTACTTTTGAAATTTTAAAATCCTTAACTTGAAAGAGAAGATGTATCATAAAAAAACAGGGTAGCAATATTTCAGTTTCTCTCTGTTGGCACTGGTGTGGGATGAGGGGGGAGAAGGGGGAGATTAATCCAGTGGGATCTTTTTTATCCCCCTTATATACTTTGAGAACTTTTAAGATAATTTTTCTCAGAGTAATAACTCAAAACTTCTGAATAAGTATTTATTTTTGAATAAATAGATAAAAAGCAAGGTATGCACAGATATCAAGGCAGGTCCTCCAATAAATATGATGATTTAATAATCTGGCTAAGCACTGCAATGCTTCATGGAAAAAAGCCTTTATGTACTTTTTAGGTTTTACTCCTTCATTTAGAAGTCATTGTTCTGAATGACCAAAATGTTATTGAAACAAGTTGAAACACTAAATGCTATAAAGTATATATATCTCATCTTCATGTTTTCAATTCTATTTGCTCTTTATCAATTTATTAATTTTTAAAAATGCATATAAGATAAAAGCATTGTTGTGGGTTAATGAGCATATTAATATTTTTGTTTGCTCTGTTAAAAGCCATTAGTGGAGCCCTAATGTCTTTGGGTGTGTGAAGCCACAAACGGATGGGAATCAGGTCGACAGACATCAAGATAATTTCTCTGAATAGCATTTGCACAGTCAGTAATACAAATACTTTCCCTTTGGGCCTGTTTGTTAAATTTTTGGTGTGGTATGCAGCTTTGCCTAATTAAATGGTTTTGAGGTGTGTATGTTATGTATATATGTATTTGATTGGAAGGGGGGAGCTTTAATTGCTAGTGAAACAAGTGGCTGTTTGTTAGAACCTAGATAAGCCAAGCCCCATAATGTTGTTCCTATGACAACTGAGGGGTTGGATGTTGAAATGTAGCATTAAGTTCTCGGTTTGGAAATGTCATTCTGACCTCCCACTACAGTCTCATTGAGTAGGAGGATAATGAGAAGGGGAAAAAACCATGAAGCAACATCAGTATCTGTTCGTTTCATGTCTTCCTAACTTGCCTTTGTGTACAGATCGCCATGGGAGTGGTAAACATGGGCCTTAAACAAAGTGATACTTCGCTATAAAATAAATGGGATGGGGTCAGAAAAGTTGCGGAAGATAAATAACATATGGGGGAAATAAAGAGGCGGGAGAAGTCAGTTTCCATGAGTTTGTGCAAATCATTTATTCAGTGCTGAGCAGCAGTGAGAACATCTTGAACCGGTTACTGTATTGCTCTTCAAGAACTGCAAATATTTCCTTAAAATGCAGTATGGAGAAAGTTTCTCTGGTAGCAGGCTAGTTTACCCCTTTGATGTAACATTTGTTTGTCTCACCTAGCCTGACTATAGAGAAGACTATAGTCTTCTAAGATACATGTTTTAAGTCAATTCTTTGTCATTTCACATGGTTGTACTATTAAGATAGTGGTACAACGTAAGTATCTTACCCTGCATTTAAAAATTACTTTTAAAAGCCCTTCAAGATTATTTGAAATCTGTTGTTTATAAAAATGAACTGGCTGACTGAGAATGTTACGGCATACTGTGTTGGGGGTAGGGATAGATGGGCTAATAGTTGGCATAGATTAATCACGCAGTTGTGGGTTTTCCATGCCTGAAGGGCTTCCTATTTTCTACTCCTAAATGGTTTTGACTAATTATTTGGCCATTACCACCTCTAGCAGTTAAAAAGGAAAAGAAGATTTCAGTGGGTTTTCCCTCTTACTTAATAATAGGTCCACCATCTCTTCTGAAATAAAAATGCTCTGAAAACCAAAAGATTTTAATGTAAAATATTTGGCAACAAATGCTGATCTGAACTGATGTGAGTCTATTTATAGTGTTTACTTTTCCCACGTAGTACAAATATTTGGATGTTTTACTGTAGAAATGTTAATGTATTTCATCATGGACTGCAGTACCAGATTTCCCTAAGGTTTTATATAGCTAGAAGAGTCACCTTATTGCCTTTATAAAACAGTTATAATCATAATAATCAATGTGAGTGTCAGATAAGGGTTTATGGTGCCCTAATTACTGACGTGCTTTGTGCTCTTATTTTGTGTCAGGAGCTTTAAACAAACCACTGGCATCTAGAACAGTGTCTGTCACATAGAACTCAATAGCTGTGTTTGGGTATAAAACGCTTTACATATATTTAACTTATTTAATCCTTGCAAAAACTGGTTATGACCAATGTGATTGTTATCCCCATTTTACATGGGGAAACTGATGCACAGAGAGGTGAAGCAACTTGCCCAAAATGACACAGCCAGGAAGTAGTGAAGCCGTGACTTGAAAGCAAGCAGTCGAGCTCGTCTGCTCCTCGTGACGCTGCTTCAGGTATAAGAGAGTTGTGGGGATGTGGCACTGGAACTCTTGACTGTGACAGAGGGACGGTTCAACTGTTTGTTCCTCGTCCCCAGTGCCTGTAGTCATCAAAAGCCGATGACATCACCGCCATAGTCATTACCAGGGATCCACTGGGGACTGCTTATGACAGAACTTTCTGGGTGGGAGTCTGGGAGTTCCAAGTGTCTGAGTGGCTCTTAATATCTTCACACTATTCCCAGCATTGATGTCTGTCAACAGTCAGCCTGGGTTCCTTATCTTGAAAAATGCAGACACATGAAATAACACTTTCCCTAGTTCCAAGGGACTTATCCTAAAGATTGGGAAAAAATTTATTTCTGTAAACATTTTCTGGACTCTTAACCCAGCAGGAGGTCTGGGCTCTGAAGAGGGCATGGGTCACGTTGGCGGGGGTGAGCTCCTTGGTGTGAGGGCCACACTGGGACAAAGCAAGGGCCTTGGGGAAATTGGGTAGCCTATGGAGGTCGAGCTGCTTGTCTCCGAACCCACAAAAGGTTACTTTTACTAGCGCTTTTCAAAAGACCGTAATAGAAGTGTCTCTTTCAGTGTCTTTCCCAGTGCCTGTATATTTCTAGGCATACAAAAAGCTTCATTCCAAGCTAATCCACTTCCCAAATTCCCTGTCCCTCTACCCTGTTTAATTTTTCCTTTTAGCACCTATCTGTCTGACATATTGTTTATTTTACTTATATGTTTCTTTGGCATTTCAGCGAAACACTAGCAGTAATGTTATCTGTGAACAAATTTAAAGGTGTCCTACATTTATTTCTCTTTGATCTCCATCTTCAAACTCTTTCCCTCCTCTCAATCTCAGGCTGCTCTAGAGATTGACTTTTGTTATGCCACTGGATTTTTCTTACTACTAGTTACCATTTTTATGTTCACAGCCATGAAAATTTATTTTTCTAAAACTGTTTTATGCCATCAGAATTTGGAGTACCGATGCCTTTATTCAGGAGAGGAGATGGAGCTAAATATGAATATAATCTTTGGGTATTTGTGAAATAATTCAGGAGAACGTACAAAAGAAAGTACTTTTATGTTTTAGGAACTACCTTTAATTGAACTAGCTTAAGTACAAAGCCCATTGTTGGTGCTGTGATTGGAAGAAAGCCTAGTTTTCCCACCTCTCCTTAAAGCAAATGGGGAAGCCTTTTAAAATGAAAACCCATTGATTTTTCCCAATTATAGGATTTGTGTGATAATGTATAAAATGACGCTAGAGTTCTTAAAAATGGGAGAAAGTGAGTGAATTTGTACAGGCCCATCAAAGCCTTCAAAGTCCTAATTACCTTAAAGAAAAATCTCCAAACTTCCGGATATTTTCCATTGAGTATTAAGTATGCGACTGTGGTCACCATGACCCCAAACATGTGCCTGTGTATGGCATCCATTGAAGTGTCTGCACCCTGGGAAACCCAGTCTCTGGAAACAATCTACTTGAGCTTTTCACTATACCCTTGCTAGGAGAATCAGCTACCCCATCTATTTCCCTTAGCCATAGAGAGTGGGACATTGGTACTAGCTCACAAGTCTGTTGCATGAAATAAGATAACATGTAAAGCACATGCTGAGTGAGGTCCCTGCTGTAAGGGAGCTTAACACATCAAATTTCCCATCCCACGTTCTTTTAGGAAAAGACTTCAGTAGATCCCAAAGCCTATAGAACCACCACACTAAACTACATGTCTAGTCTCCTGTCAGATTAAGCAAAATGGTGATCACAGGGCTGGCTGCCATTAAGTACACACTTAGCATGAGCTAGG